TAAAGACCACACAATTAATGAAAAGATTGAAATCTCAGCAAAAAAAAAAGAAATTAAAACAAAGGAAGGGTTAGAGATGTAGCTCATTTGACAGTTGGTTTGCCTATCATGTACATGGCCTGCGCTTGACCCCCAGCACTAGAAAAGAAAATTCTTGGAGCTGGGAAGGTGGCTCAGTGGTGGAGCGCTTGCCTTGCGTGCCTGAGGCCCTGGGTTCGATTCCTCAGCACCACATAAGCAAAAAGAAAAAAGCCGGAAGTGTCGCTGTAGCTCAAGTGGTAGAGCGCTAGCCTTGAGCTGAAGAGTTGAGGGACAGCGGCCAGGCCCAGAGTTCAGGCCCCACAACTGGACCAAAAAAAAACAGAAAGAAAATTCTTAATGCTAGAAATTAAGCACACATTTTCTGAAAACAAAATTTTCTCTAGAAGAATTTAACAGCTTAGTCGAGATAACAGTAAACAGTTGGATCTAATTGCGTCAGAATTATTGATGGTGAAATTGGAAGAAGACTAAAATGATGGTACTTCAGGGATCTGTTAGGGAACTCAGTTTTTGTGCACATATTTTTTGAGATCCAGAAGGAAGGGAGACTGGGCCAGTAACTAATGTCTAAAGAAGTAATGGCCCCAAATTTCGCAGATTAAATGAGAGATATAAATGTGTGTGTTTGAGATGTTTAGTAATACCAGTGAGATGAGAGTGCAAAAAGTCATATCAAGGTTCATCAGAGTAAAGCCAATGAAAGCCTAAAACTAAAAGTGTCACAAGGGAGTAAAAAAATATGGCACATAGACAACAGGGAACCAACCACAAAGCTCTCTCCAAAGAAGCAGAGTTTTAGGGTCCCATCAAGATATCCATGTCTAGAGAGTCACACCAAGTAAGCCATAATTATACGGAGATTTATACCAAAGAAGAAAATTATAAGCTACCTGCATAATAGTACAGAATTAAATGTCTGCTGGTGGCAGCAGCAGCGGGCTGGGGGGCCGTGATGGAGGTGGCCCACAGGCTGTCCACTCACCTTCGGCCCGAGTTTAAAGACCGGGAATAGGAATCCACAGCCCAACCGGCCACAGGCGGATGGTCACTCAGTGTGAGTACCCTACACCAAAGATGGTCTCCCATCCAGGCATCTGAAAAGAAACCCTCCCCCTCCCTGAGAAGAATGCCATTTTTGAAGGTGACATAGAGCCTGTCATAGTACCTGGCCAGAGAAGCGGCACCATTTTTGAAGAAGGCAAAGGAATCTGATATCCTTGTACTCCCTCCTCAGGTGGAAAAAAAAAGTCTCGCCCAGGGGGAGGCAAGCCCCTCAGGGAGAAGAGACCCTGCCCCTCAGTAGGGAACAGAGACAAGCCCCGCCTTCCATACACGTGCAGCCCAGCCGGGCTGGCACCTTGGAATTACACGATCAAAACTCCCTAAAAACTCACTGGAAAACAGACAAGCAGCCGGGTGCCGGTGGCTCACGCCTGTAATCCTAGCTACTCAGGAGGCTGAGATCTGAGGATCACGGTTCAAAGCCAGCCCAGGCAGAAAAGTCCGTGAGACTCTTATCTCCAGTAAACCATTAGAAAACCGGAAGTGGCGCTGTGGCTCAAGCGGTAGAGCGCTGGCCTTGAGCTGAAGAGCTGAGGGACAGGGCCCAGGCCCAGAGTTTAAGCCCACCACAACCCACCAAAAAAAAAAAAAAAGCAACTGGACAGGTAGTAAAATCGAGGCAGGGGGGCAAGGGGGAGTCCACTGCTTCCTGACACAGTACAGGACCCCCACACCCAAGTTCACTGCAGAGATTCTTTTTTTTTTTTTTTTTTGTCGGTCATGGGACCTGAACTCCGGGCCTGGGTGCTCCCTCAGCTCTTCAGCTCAAGGTCAGCGCTCTACCACTTGAACCACAGTGCCACTTTCAGCTTTTTCTGCTTACGTGGTGCTGAGGAATCAAACCCAGGGCCTCATGCATGCAAGGCAAGTGCTCTACCACTGAGCCACCTTCCCAGCCCCTCACTGCACAGATTCTAAACAGCATAAAACAGCCACCTCTTTCCTGCTCTACCACACAAAGGAAATCCACCACCCCCACAGGCTGAGAGGAAGCCTACAAAGACTCCAGATTTGTAAGTCAGAACTTTATTTTGGCCTCTCAAACAAAATGATTTGAGAATTCATCTGTTCACTTTGAGGTTTAAGTAAGGTTCAGACAGACCTGAATGTGAGAATCTAGGAAACAAGCTACACCCCCATATCAAGTAGGCTTCTGATTTCAACTACTACCACAGGGAAATCAAAGACTCCACTAAGAGACTGAATAGCAGACATGGGGAGACACAGGTTCACCAGACAAATTGGAGAACATTTTTTTTTTTCTTTTTCATTGCTGTTCTGTTAGTCTTAGATATACAGTCTATGGTGATTCCTAGGCCTCTTAATAATGTGTGCATACTTAATTTTGGCTGTATGTTGCCCAATTTTCTATTTCTCTGTTTTTCTTAGTATTTAAAACGTTTTTTGTTTTTTTTTTTTGGGTCCGGTCGTGGGGCCTGAACTCTGGGCCTGGGTGCTGTCCCTCAGCTCTTTCAGCTCAAAGCTAGTGCTCTACCACTTGAGCCACAGCACCACTTCCGGCTTTTTTTCTTTTTGCTTATGTGGTACTGAGGAATCGAACCCAGGGCCTCAGGCATGCAAGGCAAGCGCTCTACCACTGAGCCAACTTCCCAGCCCAGTATTTAAAACTTTTTAAAAATTATTTTTATATATACAATTTTTTTTAAAATTTCACATCTTAGGTCTCATTCTTTCTTTACATCTCTGTTCTCATTTGCTCCTCTACTATATTTCACTGTAGCTTGTAGAAGGAGTGGGCCTGGATCCCACTGCTATGTAGGTTGTTTGCGCTGTATTGCTGTATAAAATGCATCTTTTTTAAAAACCTGATTTTTTTTGTATTTTCCTTGCATTGTGAAAATGACATGTACCAAGTTGTTCCACAGTAGTATTATAATAGAAAAAGACCAATGAAAACTCAAATGTGAGTCACTAGCAGACTGGTTAACTAGGTTAAGTCCACCAAAGTGAAGCTTTTTCTGCTCTAAGATGAGCCACAGATTGGTTGTAAGTGCATCATTGGTTGCTGTGCATCACATTCTACTTATGTGAAAATATGAGCCTATATATATATACTTATATACATAAAGAAAACTGATGAGCCTAATTATAGTAGTTATTTTTAGCATAGTAGGATGGATAGATGGGGAGATATACATGGGATTGAATTTTTCTAGTGTTTACCTTTTAAATTGTTTTTATTTTGAGCAATAAACAGTTAAATCAGAAGTAAAAATAAAGTTCATTTTTATATCCCCTGGGTTAGAGGTAAGAGCACAGCAGAGATGATCAGTCATGTTAAATGAAGATAAAGGTGCTGTGTGTGCGTTAGAGCTTGTGAGACGCAGCCCTCGAAACAACTGCAGTGAAAGAAAATCCCTCATCAAGGAGTTTGAACTCAGGGCCGGGTGCTGTCCCTGAGCTTTGTCAAACACGCTACCACTTTGAGCCACAGTGCTACTTCCAGTTTTCTGGTAATTAATTAGTCTCACAGACTTTCCTGCCCAGGCTGGCTTTGAACCTTGATCCTCAGATCTCAGCCTCTGAATAGCTAGAATTACAGGTGTGAGCCACTGGCGCTTGGCTAAAATCCCCAGTCTTGAAATGTTAAAAAAGGAAAGACTGGAAAAAATGAACTAAACCTCCGATTTAGTAACCAAGGGAAGAACAGCAAAATTAACTTGAATTACAGAGAAGAAAAAGGATTTTAAAAAATAGATGAAATACAGAAATAAGGAGAGGATCATTAGTAAATTGAAATTTGCTATTTTGAAATAGTTACTAAAGACACACATATCTAGGCGTAAGGCATAAAGACTTGGGGGCCAGTCTGCTGTTATGACTTCTGACTGGCGGTGGCCCTTAATGCTTCAGGTGCTGTGGAGTAAGTAGTTGTGCGCATCTCACACAGTCATTAGTGTTAAGTAAGCACTTGGAACACCACATAGGAAATAAAGTGCGAAGTAAGCACTGGTTTTTTGTTTTTGTCAAGAACAAAGGAGAAAAGTTACAAAGATTCTGAGGAATGGAACTACAAATATAAATTATACAATATATAAGTAATTATGTAATTACATATAGTAAATTTTAAAAATTCCTAATACTATGAAGAACTGTGTTCTAATATATTTGAAACTGTAGATATGTCTTTTATCAGAAAAATACCACTGTAATATATGCAGTAGAATAAAATTGAAATATTTGTATCTGAGTATACCAAAAACATTTAAAGAAATAAAATCTGTATTAAAAACTCCTTCCATGACCCCAGTGTCATATTTTTAAGATGGTACCCCTTGGATATTAAAAAAATATTGAAGCATATAGGATAAATCACACAAATAGGACATTTTGATAAATCATACAAAATTTTCAGTGATGACTTTTGACAGTGTTGTGTTACCTGTGCAAATTACTACACTATTTGTTTTCTCTAGGATAATACAGAAATTAGAGGTATTTAAAAAGGATTTGATATTAATCAAAGGTAGAGTTTTAACCTACAAAGTAGTTAAGTAGATTTTTTTTAGAGTATTGCCTTAAAAAAAGGAGTTTGAACTGGCACTGGTGGCTCAGGTCTATAATCCTAGTTATTCAGGAGTTTGAGATATGAGGATCATGGTTTGAAGCCAGCCCAGGCAGAAAAATCCATGAGACTCTCATCTCTAATAATCTACTAAGAAAAAGCCAGAAGTGGCACTGGCTCAAGTGGTAGAATGCTAGCTAGCTTTGAGCACATAGAGATTCAGGGACATTACCCATGTCCTTGAGTTCAAGCCCCAGGAAAAAGTTTGAGATTTTTGAGTAAAAAAAGATTATCTTTTACCAAGGTTATCTTTACCAAACAGTAGATTGTTTATTTTCCCGACTAACAATGGAATATGCATTTTTTTCAGAGACATTAAACCTGACAATATATTGATGGATATGAATGGACATATTCGTTTAGCAGATTTTGGGTCTTGTCTGAAACTGATGGAAGATGGAACGGTAAATAAAAATGAATCCCAAATTATTTTACCTGCAGACACGTCCCCTCGTTATACCTGCTTTCTGTGTTTCAGAAGTCATCTGTATTTATTCAGACGTCCAGTTGTTTTCCCGTCTGTGTTTCAGCTCCTTCCACAAAGACATTGGGCATACTTACCCACAGTAGGGCTTTTCTGTCAAGTCACAGCCATTCTTCCTGCTTGTAGACGTGATCGTGGACTGGATGTGTTATGACACCTTCATTAGCTGGTAACTATTGATTGTTGTGCTTGAGGCATTTTCAAGTTTTTAGAGGGATAGAGAAAATAAGTCTCATACTGGAAAAGAAAATGCAACTCCACCCTCTTGTATTTTTCTTTACTAATAACATAACCTGAAGAGTAGTGTTCCACACTAAAGTTTAAGTTGTGTTAGTTTTATGGTTCCATTTGTTTACCTTATGCTAACTCTAAACCTCTTGGTTGTTTTCTTTCATTTATTTACTTTAAAGTTTACATGCATATATTTTATTTTATTTTAAATTATAAATTTTTTTGGACTAGAACCATATGTATCCCAGGCTGGCCTTGAACTCTTGATCTTCCTGACTCTCCCTTCCAAGTACTGAGAATATTGTATTATTCTAACATGCTCAGCTTTCTTTTGTGTGTGTGTTTTCCGTTCTTTGAATTTTCCTGGCACTGTAGTAGAGGCCTTAATGTATGTTAATTCAATTGATAAAAAAATTTTGGGGAACAGTTTAGTATAATAAATTCCCAAAGGCATCTTACATTACTCTGAACCATAATTTCACTCTGAAAATTAATTCTAAAACCCTAATATTTTACAAATAGATATTGTTGCTTCTGACCACATTGAAAGGAAAAATTAATAGCAGATTGGCCTTTCTACCTAATATACCTATACAGCCAGGCACAGTGTTCGATATAGCTGTTTTCATGCAGTTGACAACAAGCAGCCTGAGTTACCATGACAGGAATGACCTCTTGAGGAGTGCCTAGCACTGGGATAGCTCCTAACTCCTGGTGCTAGAATGGAGTTAGAGACATTAGAGAGACAGGAATGTACCCAGCAGTATTGACAGCACTGCAGGCTCGAGGAGATCTACCAAAGAATGGGGTTACCCACTTGGAAACAGAGCAGATGCTGGAGGAGAAACAATGCTAAGAGATGGATGTTTGCCTCTCAAGAACCAGTTAATCTTTTGTAATACTTAAGACCCACTTTGAACTTGTTCTAACAGCCTCAATGTTTGGGAGTGGTCCCTGCCAACAGGGCTTATGATGAATTGTAAACTTTGCAGATATTGGACTCACAATGTGTGTGTGGCAACACGTTCAAGGAGATATTCAGTCAATTATATGTATCTAAGAATTATTCTCCTTCTGAAGATGATATAACCCATACTATTAGCATCACAATCTATTTTAATCCTGATGAGTAAGATTCAACCTAAAAGTCACTAGATCAAACAACTTGCATATGAGGATAGTGATATACAGAGTCCAAAGAAAAGGCAGTAGTAGCCTCGATGGTTCAGATATTGAACATACTATATACAGGACAGAGATGATAAGAATAACCACTTACTTCTCTTTAGAGATTGTAGAATGACATGTTTAAAGTGTGGGAAGAAAAAAGGTAAACAGAATTGTATATCAAGCAAAATTACCCTTCTAAAGTGAAATTGGATTGAAAATATTTTCAAATAAACGGATGATAGAATTCATTTCTAGGAGGCAGGATGCTAAGAATGTTCTCTGTGCATATTTAGATGGTCAGGCAGTGTGTGTGTGTCCTGTGGTCCACGGCGGAGCTGCTGTTCTCTCATGCTCCCATGCGATTCACTGTGTGACTCTCCTTTGCTTTTGCTGCAGGTTTCTGTATGTTTCTCCAACATTGGCTTCATTAATAGTGATTTTTTACCTTGGAATCTATTTGAGCTGATATTTCTATAGCTACCTTATTTCTCTTGTGTCACGTACACCTGATACATCCTTTCTATCCCTTTACTACCACTCCATCTCTCCCCTTTTTTCTTTCCTGGTACTTGGGTTTGAACGTAATACCTTGCACTTGTTCTGCTGGCACTCTGCCATTTAAGCCATACCTTCAGTCTTGCTTTTTGCTAGATGTTTTGGGTGGTAGAGCCTCAGGGACTTATCTGCCTAGACTGGTGTTCAGTTGTGATCCTTTGGACCTCAGCCTCATGTAATCCTGAAGAGCTATGTCTTTATAGTTTTTTGACAGCATTCACTGTGTAGTCCAAACTGGCCTTAAACTTTGCACCCTTCTTCCTCAGTCTCAAGAGTGTTCGTATTATTGGTGTGGACTACCAGACCCAATTATATATAACTCTTGTCTTTTAGAGGATTTTGTCAGTTTATTTGTATTTATTTCTAGATTTTGCCTGTTTATTTACATGCATCCTTTTGTTTCCTTCTCTGTCTTTTGTGCCTTTTTCCTGGTAAAGTTTAGTTTGTTGTTGTTGTTGGTTTTTATTGGTCATGGGGCCTGAACTCTGGGCCTGGGCGCTGTCTCTCAGCTCTTTAGCTCTAGCCACAGCGCCACTTCTGGCTTTTTCTGCTTATGTGGTGCTGAGGAATCGAACCCAGGGCCTCTTGCATGCAAGGCAAGCACTCTACCACTGAGCCACCTTCCCAGCCCCCAAACTTATTTTTTCAATAGATAAATCATTCTTTTCCTCAAAAACTGTCCTGCGTCAAGTGACACATTTGATGCAGAATGAAAAGGCAGCATGTAGACTGGGAGAAAAACATTTGCAATCACATGTCTTCTAACACGCTGACTCCTAAAATATGAAAAGAAAGGCTGTAATTCCACTGGGAAAATGAGCCCACTGAATAACCAAGAAGACTGACTAGGACTAATGGCTGATAAGCATATGAAAAGGTTGCACTGTAAACCATTTGAGAAATGCAAACGAACCACAGGAGATACTATCTCACACCCAGTAGGATAGCTGATATGGAAGAAACCCAAAGATAGCAAAGAATGTCAAGGGTGTGACTAAACTGGAACCCCTGGGAATAATTTGTTGGAATATGGAAGAGTAGAGTCTAAATGGAAAATAGATTTTCAGGAAATTAAAAAATAATGTTGCCATGTAACCTAAGACTTTCCACTTCTGGTTGTATACCCAGAAGAAATGAAACAGACTGACCAGATATTTGTATACTCTTTGCCAGCATCATTGTTTAGAACAGCCAATATATGGAAGTGATCCAAATGTCCATCAACATAATGGACTAGCAAAATGTGGTATATTGGTGCAAGTCACCAATACCAACTTCCTACAGAGAAGGAAGTTGATGCATGTCAGCAACATAGAGGACCCTTAAGTGAAATGACTTTCCCAGAAGGAAAAAGATTGTAAAATTCCATGTATAGGATGTACTGGAGTTGTCAGAGTTGAAGAGATGAAATTCAATAATGTCCAGGCACTAAGGGGCGGGGAAATGGTAAAATTACTGCTTAATGGTGGAAGAAAGGCTTGTAAGATGGACGATGGTGTTCAGCTGCTCAACAATACAAATATACTGTGGTCACCGACCTAACCTTAAAATGATTAAGATGGCAAATTTTGTTCTGCGTTTGTTGCCACAATTTAAAATAATAATTAAATGTCTTAGGGAAAGTAGGAAAGAGTAATTATTCCCTCAGCAATTATATGATTAGGAAAGAAACATAAAAGGATGGATTTGCATTTTCTTTTTCAATATGAGACAGTTTCTTTATCCCTCTTGGAAGTGTCTCAAGCATAACAGTAAATACTTACCAGGTAAAGAAGGAGCCAACCAGGGTCTCATGAAACACTGATTCCAAGATCACTTCTACAGGGAAGAGGAATGGCTGTGAGTTTATGGATAAGCCCTATTGTAACTGTGCCTAAGTGTAGCCAGTTGAATAATAGTTATTATAATGAAAGTTTAATGGTATTATAAAACCCACTAGTTTGGAGATTATGGTAAATCATATCTGTATAAGCCAGGAAACAAAGACATAGTAGTTATGAGCTAGGTTGTCTATTGTGTACCTCAAGGGAGGGAATACAACTTTTTAATATGAATTATTTTGTCTTTAATATTTTACACTGTGCTAATAAAGGTATACACTTCTTTAGGTTCAGTCCTCAGTGGCAGTTGGCACCCCAGATTATATTTCTCCTGAAATTCTTCAAGCCATGGAAGATGGCAAAGGCAGATATGGACCTGAGTGTGACTGGTGGTCCCTGGGGGTCTGTATGTATGAAATGCTCTATGGAGAAACACCCTTCTATGCAGAATCTCTTGTGGAGACTTATGGAAAAATCATGAACCACAAAGTTAGTATTGTATTTTACTTTTTTTCTAATTGTTATGAGAAATATTAACGTTTAATACAAATAAGGTTGCGAGAGAAAATAATTGCCCACAGTGAGCGTTCATACTTTCTTGGCTAGTAGGGGACACACATGAATAATGACAAACCATAAATTACTATTCCTGAAATTATTACTTCTTTTTTTCTGTATTTTATTTATAAATACTGATTAGTAGAAAATTGAATGGAATGTCATTAAGTAGACATTTCTTATCAGGTCTTTTTATAGTACATGGAACTGATAAGAATTAATGTAAAAATCCTTTTAACTTTAGTAGTAGTAAATGTAAATAAAACCGAGACACTTTTTTCTTGTCAAATTGACAAAAATAAAAGGAAAAAAAACTACGCTCCATACGGCCAACAATGTGATCGGTACTGCAATACTGTTGTTGGGAATATAAACTGGTGTAGCCTTTCTTTCAAGAAGCCTCAGGCTTGAGTAAGTTCAGGTTTGAGAATGTACCCGATAGAAACATTCAGGAGTACCAGAATGTGCACTCTTTAGCTCTTCCAGTATTAATCATCATAGAACATTGGAAACAGCCCAGACACTCATCAAGCACGTGAGTCCATACCTACTAAGTAAAGCACAGTAGATTGTATGTAACAAGAACAAGAAAGAATGATTGCTCATCTTGGCATGCTGGAGAGCAGTTACAGAAGTTCTGGACATCCCCAGAAAGCGAATTTGTTCCCAAACTGTTCTGGTGATGCAGGTGATTAGTTGCTTACATATATATAGAGCAAGGAATGGGGATCCTTTTTTCTGTCCAGGGCCATTTGAATCTTGTAACATCATTCTTGGGCCATACAAAATGATCATTAAAAGCAGGCAGGCCATGGGAAGCAGACGTGTCCCATCAAGTATCAGGTGATTTCAACCCCTTGGGCTGGGCATTTCCAACCCTAATTATAAATCACTTTTACAGAGTTTGAGCTCTTCTGCCTAACTGCCCAGGAGTGTTCTTAGTATTTGAGAAGAGATGAAAAATGGCAAACAGTTGCAAGTTGTAAGCAACACATGCGCCAATTCAGAAAGGGGTCACGTGGTTTTTAGTGAAAATGTCAACTGCATTGATTCTGAGATAGCCAAGGCTCGGCATCCCTATCTGTCACCATTAGTTGTGTAATATCGAGAGACTTCCCTGAGCATTCTGTGCCCAGGTTTTTTTGTCTATGAGGTCACCATAATAGTGCCCACGTAAGATAATTGTGTGAGGACTGGAGAAGTTAATGAGTAAATCACTTTGAATACTGTCAGATTTGTGTGTGAAATTCTTTGAGTGTGTTTTTGTATCAGTTAATCATTAGAGTTTTTACTGTACTTTATATGGACATTTTGCTTACCTGCATTCTAGTGAAATATAAATCCAATTCCTGTTCCTTTCATCAGTTCCTCGCCATTCTAATGGCATTTTAATTGTTACAGTACTTATTCTTTTTATAGTACATCTCCAAGTAACCAATGGAATTTGAAGTCTTTTAAAATAAATGTTTTTTCTCATTCATCCTTATGTGCACTTTAGTATCAGTACTATGTAGCAGAAGCATGCATATACAAATTTTTATTATTTTTTTTTTGGTTGGGGGAGGCAGTATTGAGGATTGGACTCAGTGCCACTGCTGGGGATTGACTGACCTCATGCTTGCTAGCCAGGCACTCTGCAATGACCTCGTGCTTGCTAGCCAGGCACTCTGCAATGACCTCGTGCTTGCTAGCCAGGCACTCTGCAATGACCTCATGCTTGCTAGCCAGGCACTCTGCCACTTGCATTATGGGTTCCACGGCCCCGCTCCCCCACCCCCCACCCTCTTCCCCGCCCCAACACTTGCACTTCTAGTTTGTTTTTCAGGTAGAGTCTTGCCTGAGACAGCTGTGGATGGCAGTCCTCCTACCTTGACCTCCTTAGTACCTGGGACTGCAAGGGTGTGCTACCACACTGTGATTAAAAAGGAAATACCTTTTTAAGAAGATACGTAAGTCAGTCACCCTACTTTGTAGATTGTGCTGATTTATATTTATTCTTTTATAGGAGAGGTTCCAGTTTCCAGCCCAAGTGACTGATGTGTCTGAAAATGCAAAGGATCTTATTCGAAGACTCATTTGTAGCAGAGAACATCGGCTTGGTCAAAATGGAATAGAAGACTTTAAGAAACATCCATTTTTCAGTGGAATTGATTGGGATAATATTCGAAACTGTGAAGCACCATATATTCCTGAAGTTAGTAGCCCAACTGATACGTCTAATTTTGATGTGGACGATGACTGTTTAAAAAATTCTGTAAGTATGGCATTGTGATGAAGTTTGTCCCTCTGTTCTTTTCAAATATGGCTAATAAAGTAATTTTCTTTTTGGTTTACAAGTATTGTACTAAGATCACCATGTCATCTTGTTGTTGCTTACCAGTCAGGCAATGGTCCTGGCTTCCAGTGCTTTTTTGATCATAAGTTTCTGAGGTAAATACAGCGTCCACGACCAAGACCAAAATTCAGAGATTTATTTCATACATAAGTTATGCCAGCATATTTCCTAAGGACAGAAACATACTAGATTCTTAAAAGAGCAGATTTCATGAATGAGAAAGTAGGGCTTGCCAGGTCTCTCCCTAAAACCAATCAGGAAAGTAGAAAAATTGACCCAAAACAGGCATTTCAGGACTTAATTAATATATTAACCAGGCAAAAATAAATTGAGGAGTATTTGTTCATGGAAAACTCTGGAACTCTGGTTTAAGTCACACCTAACAGATGCTCCCCCATCCCCAGTGTTGTTGTGACAGGTGTACATATAGCTTGCACCTGGATGTAGAAACAAGTGCTCTCCTGCCAGTGGGGGCAGACTGAATCTGGAGGGCTGATTACCCACAGCAGCAGTGCTCCCCCTGAGTGAGTGGAGATGAGCCTTCCTCACGCCATGCTGGAGGCAAATGGCAGGGCACATGGACTTGGCCAAATTTCAGTCACTCTTCTCTCCTGGGCTCCACCAGATGAAGCCAGTATGGCGTGGGTGGGTACTGTTTTTGTAGCCCAACCTGTAGGTAATGGCTGTTGTCTGTTTCTTACCAGATTGCTTTTTGTTTGTGTTTGTTTTTCTTAGGAAACAATGCCCCCACCAACACATGCTGCGTTTTCTGGTCACCATCTGCCATTTGTTGGTTTCACATATACTAGTAGCTGGTAAGTTTTGAAAGTTAATATGATTAGGACAATTTATAGTAAGCCAAAAGTGAATTGAATGCTGAATGCTAGTAGTTCATGCCTGTAAATCCTTCCTATTTCAGAGTCTGAGAACATGAGAATCTCAACTTGAGGGTAGTCCAGGCAGAAAATTTTTTGAGAACTTCTCTTAAAAAATAACAACAACAAAAAAAAAGCTGGGCGCTGGTGACTCACGTCTGTAATCCTAGGTACTCAGGAGGCTGAGATCTGAGGATCTCGGTTCAAAGCCAGCCCAGGCAGGAAAGTCTAGTGGTTACTAGAAAACCAGAAGTGGTGCTCACTTGGTAGCCTCGAGTGGCTCAAGTGGTAGACTGCTGGCCTTGAGCTGAAGAGCACAAGGAGAGCACCCAAGCCCAGAGTTCAAGCCCCACAACCGACCAAAACAAAACAAAAAACATACGGCTCAAGTGATAGAGTGCCAGTCTACCAAATGCGTGGTCCCAGTGTTGGGGGAGGGGAAGAGAAAATGAACTGAGACTTAAAAAAATGTATGGGAAGGCCTTTTAAAATTAAAAAAAAATTCAAACAAGCCAGGTGCCGGTGGCTCATACCTGTAATCCTAGCTATTCAGGAGGCTGAGGTCTGAGGATTGCGGTTCAAAGCCAGCCCAGGCGGGAAAGACCATGAGACTCTTATCTCCAGTAAACCACTAGAAAACCAGAAGTGGCGCTGTGGCTCAAGTGGTAGAGCGCTTGCCTTGAGTTGAAGAGCTGAGGGACAGTGCCCAGGCCCAGAGTTCAAGCCGCATGACCGATTTAAAAAAAAAAATCAAACAGGACGAATCTACTTGTGGAAAAGGTAAGGTACTACAGTACTACAGAATGAATAGAATACACAGACTATTATCTCATTTTGGAGGGGAAGAATAGAATCAGTAGAGGTCAGACTCTTTTGCAGTGGGGAGGATCTGGGAGTAGCAGGTAAATGTTCTGAGATACCATGCGCTGGTGCCTGCCAGGCATCCTCTTGTTCCTCCTTATCCTGTTGAAATGCCATCAAGCACGGTCATAGGCCTCACTCCTTTGTTGTGATTTATGTTGTACTTCCTTTGTTAAGCACATGTTTGTTATTAAAAGTCACCTCTGTCTTTACGTGAGCAGTTCAGGGTACAGGAGAAAGCCAGCCATTCTGGTCTTCTTTTAGATTTATGTTCTCAAGCCTCCAAGGCCCTAACTGCTTTGTGGCGGGTCCTCCATGCACCCAGATGATGATTGCATATTGCCTGTGTCTAAAGCCTCTCATCCGCACTCTCAGCTGATCTCGCTTCCACCTCTTCTGAGAGGATCAGTGCCAACAGCAGACATTTCTACAAGTTACTGTCTTCACAAAACCTGTGGACTGACATACACTCTTCTTTTCATGGATTGATCCTGAAGGTTCCTAGTCACAGCCAGCCTTCTGTCCTCTCCTGCGTAGGATGGCGCATTGTTCACTTTACAGCATATGTTTTCCCCTTTCTGAGTCACCTGTACTCTCAGATCCTACCCATCAGCCCACAAACATGCAGAAGTTTCTTCTGTCTTAAAGTGAGCTGTAAAGCTTCTATGGATCCCACTTCTTCTACTTATTACCAGCCATTTTTCTGTTCTGCCTTATGATGGAATTAGGTTGACTATGAGCTTTTCTCATTCTGTGGAGGGAATCCAACACTGTTACCTCATGCAAACTGTAAACTGTTTTTCCGGATGTCACTATTGATTGATGTTACTACATTTTTTTGTGGGGGGGGGGCTTTGCTGGTAGTGGGGTTTATACTGTGAGGGCCTTGGACTCCTCAAGATTTTTTTTTGCTTACAGTGGCCCTTTCCCATTTGCACTACACCTCCTGCCAGGCTTTTTGCTGGTTAACTAGAGGTAACTGCCTGAGCTGGCTTCAAACCATGGTCCTCTGACCTCAGCTTTCTGAGTAGTAGGATTTCAGACATGAGCTATTGGTGGCCTGCCTTGTATTGCTGAATCTGATAATTACTTCTCATTCCTAGTCTGTTTCCCCCCCCCCCCCCCCAGTCTCATTTTTTGTTTACAGTCTATACCACTAAAACACTCATCTGGTTTTCTTTTTCTTTTTTTGTCAGTCGTGGTGCTTGAACTCTGGGCCTGGGCACTGTCTCTCAGCTCTTCAGCTCAAGGCTAGCGCTCTACCACTTGAGCCATAGTGCCACTTCCGGTTTTCTGGTGGTTTATTGGAGATGAGCCTCACGGACTTTACTGCTTGGGCTGGCTTTGAACCGTGATCCTCAGATCTCAGCCTGAGTAGTTAAGATTACAGGTGTGAGCCACCAGCGCCCAGCTCTAGTTTTCTTTTTATCTTTCTGGTTGCTTCTTTGTCTCTATACTATATTCCTTGTCTCTCTGATTTCTGAGCATCAGTATTATAGGGCTTCGTCTTTGAATTTCCTTTCACAGTCTACGTTCTGATCTTTTACTACATCTGTAGTGGACACTTTCTTCTCCTTTTATGAAAAATCTGTCCTAACTATCTATATTACTAAGTTGACATCTTTTTTTTTTTCTGGCTTTGTTTTTAATTGTGAAAATACCGTACAGAGGGGTTACAATTACATGGACAAGGTAATGAGTACATTTCTTATCAAGCATTGTTGCCTCCTACTTTGTTTTCCCTTCCCATCCCTTCCCCCCCCCCCCCCCCAAGTTGTAAAGTTCGTTTTTCGACATAACAACTTGTACATCTCATTGTTGCAATGGGTCCACCTATATCCCTATTTAAACGATTTGTTTTTTTCCTTCCCCTCCACAAATCATACCAACATCAAATACGGTGAAAGCAGGTGTTGACATCTTTGTATTTCCCCCGGTGTGTCCAGGTTTTCTGTAGAAAAACAAGGCCACCTGTCATTCTCTATTCAGGTCAGAGCTCCTCTACTTTCTAGTTCCAGTGACTGCCTCACCTCAAACCCAGGTTCTTAGAAGACCCTGCACAGTGAACTCACTTTTATCTTTCTGATTTTATTTTCTATTGCCTTTCCCTAGTTTTACTCTGCCAAACCACACAGATCCTCCTGGGCTCCAAATCTTGTCTCAGTTCTTCTTACCTTTCCCATTTCCCTGGCTGCTACCTTCAGCTTGCTTGGATTTTTCTGTTACCTTTGCAAGACAACTTTCCCAACCAGTTGACCTAAATTTTAATCTTTTCCCCATTAAGATTTTATTTCTCTCTTTCCTGCTTTATGGGTTTTCTCTTTAGCAGGTAACACTTTCTACTTTGCTTATTTTTGTCCATTATAAGAATTAAAGATGGGCTGGGAAGGTGGCTCAGTGGTAGAGTGCTTGCCTTGCATGCCTGAGGCCCTGGGTTCGATTCCTCAGCACCACATAAGCAAAAAGAACAAAGTCGGAAGTGGTGCTGTGGCTCAAGTGGTAGAGCGCTAGCCTTAAGCTGAAGAGCTGAGGGACAGTGCCCAGGCCCAGAGTTCAGGCCAGAAGGACCTGACCCCCCCCCAAAAAAAAAGAATTTAAGTTATACATTGATAAGAATTTTGTTTGTTTATTCACTTATGAATGCCCATCATTTCAAGTATCTTTAACATGTATTGAGTCAAAGAATGTACCTTACGTTTAAGGTTTGAATTTCAGATTCTGTCAGAGACCAACATGGTTGGAAGTTGTGAACAACTCTGTTACTTAAGTGTTTAAGTTATTTTAAAGTATGCATAAGTCTTCAGCAATTTTTACTTTGTAATTTGCGGTCACTTTTTAAAATTCAAGATAATTTAGGAGAGTTAAGTTTTTATTTAAAAATACTTGTAAAAGTTTCTTAAGGTAATTTTGTAAAAGTTATTTTTTATAAAATCTTTCTAGGTGGCTAACTAGATATTGAAATCCATGTTTTTAAATTTTTTAGTATACGTAAAGTTGAATTTGCTGAAGGAATTATTATGAAGTTGGGAGCAGGATACAATGTCATAAGATACAGATGTGTTCACGTCTACACTTTATTTATTTTTATTTATTTATCTTTTTTTTTTTTTTTGGCCATTCTTGGGGCTTGGAACTCGGGCTGAGCACTGTCCCCGAGCTTCTTTTGCTCACGGCTTGCTCACTTTACCACATGAGCCACAGCACTACTTCTGGCTTTTTCTGTGTATGTGGTACTGAGGAATTGAGCCCAGGGCTTCATGCATGCGAGGCAAGCACTCTCCCACTAAGCCACATTCCCAGCCCTTTAAAAAAAAAAAAAGCTTGTAAATATCTGTACAAAGAGGATTCAGTTCACTTCAGATTAGAGTACATGCATCTTTTTTTTTTTTTTTAGCAAACCAAACTATTGATTTTTATTATTAGGTTCAATGAAGAATGCAGAAATACACAGAAATCTTTTGGACAAAAAGTTATGACTCAATGGTAATAGACTCTAAGAGAAAGCTCAGCAAGACCTGTATGTTCAGATTAAGCCTTTCAGAAATGGGATGGAACACCTATTGAATGAGGATCTAAATGACATATTGTCAGACAAAGTAGGTCAGGGAATTTCTTTAAGGCTAGCTCTTCTGAAGAAAGATAGATGAAGGGCACTGTTTCTGGTTTCTGTGACCCACCTT